AATAATAATAATAATAATGATAATAATAATGATAATAGTAATAATGATAATAATAATAGTAATAATAACAATAATATTAATAACAATAATAATGACAATAATAATAACAATAATAGTAATAATAATAATAATAATTGCAGTAGTAGTAGTAATAATGATAATAATAATAGCAACAATAATTAGTAGCAGTAGCAGTAGTGTAGTAGTAGTAGTAGTAGTAATAGTAGTAATAGTAATAGTAGTAATAGTAGTAATAGTAATAACAGTAATGGTAATAATAGTAATAGTAGTAATAGTAATGACAATGATAATAGCGGTAATAATAATACCATCCCGACAGTCGATGTGAAAATCTTATGTTATTGATATTAGTGGGATTATCCCGTACGCCCAGCGCTGTTCTGTCAGGCTCTTTCAATTCTGAGCTGCATAATTGTAGTTAGTACATCCGCCCATATGCTTCGTTTATTCATAGGCCGCTCGAATGGTTTGGTTTGCTAGCAATTACAAATAATTCAGATAGCGGTTTGCAGCAAGACGAGTAACGTACTTTTCCTATCGAGTTTGTTTTCTCGCATGGCCCTAATGTTATTGTGCACGTCGCTCGTTTGACGGAGAGTCTGATCATTTTATATTTTCCGGAAAAGGCACATCAAGTGCTGTGACTCGTTTTTAAGGTGCGTGTTTCATATCTTCTCATTTTACAGTGTAGCGACGATCAGAAAGGCGATCTGATGGGGCCTGCGTCGTTTGTTGTTCGACTGCTCAAATGCAAAGGATTTATTCCGGTGCTCTTCTCACAGAATGATTTCGATTCGAGTCTCTCACTGAAAGAACAGTTCATTCACATCAAAACGAAACTTGAGGATGCTGCGATTGGCTTGGAAAGCATATCGTGAGTATTTCCGGGCAGAAACGCATCTAGCAGCATAGATGTGCCGTTATATATGCTTTCTGTAGTTGAAAGCTGCCATTGCCGCAGCTGCGATATTAGCTCCCCTGAATCTGTTGTGGTAATTGTTTGTTTCGTTTTATATTAGTGATTGTTATCGCTACGTCCGATCTTTTTTGTTGGCGTGGCTACCCTAGATTGATAAAACATAAATTAATTTTATGAGTTTGTGCACGCTTTTTAGTTGTCAGCCAGAAAGCAGGTAATAAACCACCAGCTTAAGATTGCAAATAATACCAGTCAATAATTTATGAAATTTCCATAAATTGTTTAGATGATCAGTATTCAACATATCAGCGGGATCACAGATATCTACATTGACTCTTAATCTCGTTGCAATTTGGCCTCTTTATAGGGGCGATTTATAAGCTCACTGAATTAGTTAAAGAACCGGAAAGATCGACGGTATTGCTGCGCATCCTGGGAAGTACCCCAGCCGTAATTTAAAAAAAATGGCGTAATACATCCTGAATTATAAGAATATGTAATGTTTTTTGAAAAAACAGATTTGTGTTGTCATACGTTATTACAGTTTCTGCGCTCAGTGAAACTGTGTTGGGTACGGGAGATCCCAAGTTGTATAGTTCGCATCAGTCCTCTCCTCTACAAAGGCTTGTAGCACAGCATTCAGCTTGACGAAATCGAACGTTTAACTGTCAAAAGTACAGTAATCGTGGAAAAGCACAGGTTACTGCTGTCGGCAGCGAAACCAGTGTTTCATTTAAAAAAAAAAAAAAAAAAAATCAAAATAAGTTGATGAGCAAAGCAAGAGTTCATCCAACAAACGCCTGTATGCAG